TAGAGAACATGCCTATTGATCTGCTTTTCACGAGTTGGCGTCCTGGGCGAGTGACCCCTCTATGCTGCATTTCTCAAACAGGATCTGAATCGGGTAAAGGCCCTTTTACTCTCGTCGGCCTAGTTTCGAAGTGCTCTGAGAAATTCTCTACCGGTCAATAATATTGATTCCTCTTCTTGTTATTTCATATGTAGACACAAAATGAGGTGCATAATCCATAAGTTCTTCTCGTGTGAACCAACGATCTTCACTTGGATCCTGATAAGCGAACCTCACCTTATACTGACACTGTGGTCTGCCTCTACGTCCAGTCTAAAAGGTACTTTCAGCAACGATTTTATCCACCTCATACTTCCCATCCATACTAGGAGGTATTGCCGATCGGTGACTTGGAAATAGTTCATTGGTCACGCAGGGTAAGAGATTCGAAGCGTGGAACACTGGATACGTATGTAGATGTAGAGGAATCTCTATAACATACGAAGGACCATCCACATCGCCAATCACATCTAGAACCTGCCAAGGTCCTMTGTAGGCTGGTAGCAACTTCTGAGAGATGTTCTCTTCAGGAACAAACTCCTTAGTTTTAACCCATACCAGATCACCTACAACAAACTGAGAAGGTCTTCTGTGCTTATTTGCCTGCTCAATCATCTGATGTTGTGCTTTGACAATATTTCCTTTACCTTTTCTATGTCTTTCTGGTATTGAATCGCAAATTCACTAGTTCCTAGTGGAAGCTTATGCACTTGATCCGCCCTAGTTAGGCGGACGCCAAGACTCTGTTCATCTGTCCACATGCAAGACTCCGATGGAGTTACATCCGTCCTGGTTAGGCGGACGCCATCCCAAATGTAACTCCATCGGAGTCTTGCATGTGGACAGATGAACAGAGTTATTGTAGGCACTAGCAACTTTGGGCAAATGTTCGTCCCAGTCGATCTGATCAGGACGGATGTACATGCGCAGTGTTTGCTGCTAAATCTTGTTCATTTGCTCAGTCTGACCGTTAGTTTCAGGACGTCTGCCTGAAGACATAGTCAACTTAGAGCCATAGACGTTCATTAGCTGCTGCCATTGTTCACTTGTGAACCTTGTGTCTTTGTTCACTTGTCACCCAATGGTTAAAGAACTCCCGGATTACCAGTTTTGTTTTTGCTTCCGCCGGTAAAGCTACGAAGACATCATACTCACTAAATTTGTCCACAATGACCATGACTTGCGTCTTTCCATTCCTGCTTTTTATCTTGGTGTCCATAAAGTCAATGGACACAGAGTCTCCTGGACCTGTTGATATCGGCAAAGGCTTCAGTAGACCAAGGGGAGGTTGAGTGGTGCTGTTATTTCGTTGGCACACTTGACAACCTTGCACATACACAATGCAATTGGGTTTCATACGAGGCCAGGTGTAGGAACGCAAAAGGTTTGCGTAAGTCTTCTTCCACCCGAAATGGTCCTCACTGTCGTGGCATTCCCCTAAGATGAAACTGTTGATCTCTTCCACATTCGGAATACAAAGCCTGCCATGCACATCAGTCCTTTCAAACAACAGTCCCTGTGTAATACGATAGTTAGGAAACTCTTGTGGCGCTTCTTGTACCCGTTTAATCATTGCGCCATAAACATGATTTGTGGAATACGCATTTCTAATTTTCTCTTGTAGATCGGTGCCCACGTCCAGATATGTTACAATGGCACCGAAGAAGTTAGATCTTCGACTTAGCGCATTAGCAACAATGTTATACTTACCCTTAACTGGCTTCAGCTCAAAATCATATTGATCAATCTCAGCGGCCCACCTAGTCAACTTAGGTGTCGTCCGGGCCTGCGTCTTGAGCCAGCGAAGTGTCTCATGATCTGAGTACACTTTGAAGTGGCGCCCTAAGAGATAGTGTCGCCAGTGATCCAGGGCTTCCCGGAGAGCAAACAACTCTCTCTCATACGTAGAAGCAACGACCTTCTCATTAGGCCTGTATCCATTCCCATCGTCCTGTTGGAGTACAACGCCTATCCAATACTGACTGGCGTCGGTTGTGACGACAAGATCAGCGACTTTTCGAACCGGATAGTTAATCAGACATTTCTTCAAGCGTTTAAACGAGGCTGTACAGTCTGAATCCCACTTCCATATTGTTTCTTTTTTAAGCAATCTCCGAATGTCTTACGAATTTTCGATAATAATTGGCTAGCCCAAGGAACGACCACTTCTTCAAGCGTTTAAACG